TGGATGGAAGTTAATTACGCCACTAGATTAATTATTCTTTGTGCAACAAAGAGAGGAAGAATTCAAACAAAAAGATACACAGAAACTCATTGATCAGGCGGTTAAAAGTTCGGATATGGCAAGAAATAGACAGAAACTGTACTATGATCGAAAACGCTGTGAAGCAGATTTTAAAGTTGGAAATAAAGTGTTAAAGCGTAAATTTTCTTTATCAAGTGCCCCAGACAATTTCACTGCAAAATTTACTCCAAAATTTGAAGGCCCCTATGTAATTCAAGAAATCAAGGGAGTCGTATTGTACCTTAAGAACGAGAGAGGGGAAATCTGTAAAGCAAGTCCAGACCAGGTGAAAAAATATTATAATCAAAATGATTTTGAAATCCTTAAAAGTTTCTTGCAGGACTCAAGCGCAAAAGAAGTGGAAGGCCAGAAGTAACGTCACCCGCTCCACCACCCAAGAAGCAGAGAACAGAAGAGGAACTTGCCCTTCTACAAGTCATTCTAGGGTCCCGAAAAGAAGGAAGGAAAATGGTCAGACTCCAGCATTCAAGAAGTGCAGGAAATCAACGCCGCTGCGTAAAGAATCCTTGGTAAATAGGAAATGACCAGTTACAATGTCCCGCAGTAGAAAATCTGAGTCAAGGAAACCACTTCCAAGGCCAGATAGTCAGGAGCAAACAAGGCCGCCATTCACGAGAAAAAAAAAGACAGAAGGAGGAACGAAAAGATTGCCACCAACAGAAGAAATTCAAGCAAGATTCCAGACCGGAGGCCGCCAAGACCAGCCATCCAGGGGCAAAACGGAAAAGACGGGAACCTGAAGACTACCACCCCAAGAGGCCGGCGTACAGAGGGCGAAAAAGAAAAGTCACCATGGAGGAAACTCGAAGAACCCTAAAGCAGAGATTGCCGTCCATGAATTCCATAACTTGGGATCAATTTTGCGAGAAGAGGATGTCGGAGTTCCCAGCATCGAAAAGTCAAAGATACGTTAAAATCTTCTACAAATTTTTTCTTTTGTTCCGAAATGTTATGCGTAAATACGAAGTTCTATGTTTTGACGGAAGTCAATTTGTCTCGGTTGAGACTTATTTTTGTTTTACTTTATTTAGCTAAGGCAAAAGTATTATTTTCTTTAAGTGTAAAATCTAGCAGCAAGCAGTTCCTGTTGGTCGAAAGACTGGTTCTGTTATGTTAAGCCAGAATTTGGCTGAAAGTAAAATAACTTCGTATTCTTGTATTAATGAAAAATTTAGTTTCAGTGCCACTAGCTTGGCGAAGAAAGCGTGAAGTAAAACTTTATTTTTATCTTATTCATTTTATGGTAAATTGTAAAAATCATATGTATTAGAATTTTGTAAATATAGGTAAATACTTGAAAGTTATGTAAAAGTAGAATTTAGTCTAGAAGCATAAAATTTTAGATGCTAAAAGTAAATACTCAAAAGAAACGAATTCAAATCTAAGTATTAAACAGTAGATAAAATCATGCTTTAGAGCAAAAGCCTGCATGTCTAAAGATGAATGAGGGGGAATTAGAATGAATGTGTTTTGTAGGGTTCTCCACCGACACTAGAATTTTTAAGAATATTAAACATAGCTCATGGAGTTTCAGTATGTCGATTAAGGTGTGTCTATTTGGTCGTTGAATTCTAACAAATCATTGTTGTTAGGAGAAGTGTTGTAATACAAAAAACACGAATATTCCCATTTGACACCACACATGGTGGAGAACCAGGGTAAAGTTAAATTCATGTTTGAATACTTGAATGAATGTGAATTAAGCAGTTAATTAAGGAAAATAAAGGATCGAAAACTTTATCCAGTGTTAAGAAAGTGTAAATCATAATGTATTTAGAAGATACTGATACTTATTCCTTCCAGATACTGGAAGGAAGAGAAAAGATTGATTGCTGAAGACCAGAAAGGATCCTGTAAGAAGAGATGGTAAATTGATGCATCTACAGAAATTATAGTAAATTTTGAGGAAACAGTTTATTTTATGTAAACGGAGCTCTTGAGTTTTAGATCAGAAAGTGGAAACATTTTCAACAGGTTGTTTCTAGGACCTGCTTCCAAGTTTACCAAATTCTGACAGCGGCAAATGTAGGGTTTATATTTATTTTAACTAACATTTATTTTAAGCTAACTTTCCTGTCAAGCCTTTACTTTCCTGTAGAATTGCCAATGCCAGAGTATGTAAATCGTAGTAGAATGCGCAGAGTAATCAAATTTTAGCAGAAGTAATTGACTTTAAATAGAAGGAAAGCGAGATTTTAAGTGTGCTTCTTGAATCACGAGTGTGAAGGTTGCTTGGTAGAAAGTTTAAAAAACGCACGTTTCGGCCTGTGTGCCTATTTCGACAGTTCGTTGAATCTTTCAAATTCTTAATCAGAAAATTTGCTGAATCTCAGCTGTATCTTAGAACGCGGTTAAGTTAATCAAGATTATAGAGCCTCGCAGATAGTGACCTTCGTTATTTATTCATCCTGTCATTTATTTTTAGTTGTACTTTGCTATTTTTGTTACAACCGCCTGAGTCGGTGTAGTTTGCGAGCGTCAAGTGAACGCAACTGTGATTTCTAAAGTGTGAAATAAAAAGGGAGTTAAACCCTTCTTAAGAGTCTGTGTAATTTCCAGTTCATAACAGTCACTACTACTGTTGCTGACAAGTTGGGGCCTACCAACATCACAAGTTTCTTGGAGATAATATATTGAGAGTAGGCTGATACTAAAATAGCGCTTAAAGCTGCTATATATATATAATACACATGCATACAGTGATGCATTTATTAAGTTACTTAACACGTTACACATGGCGAAGGTCCCTGGGAACTGGCAGTGAGCTTTCCGTGTGGCCGGCGTCGGTCCCCTGGAATTTTCGTTCATCTGGCTTCGGTCCACAGGATTAAGAGTAGGCTGATACTAAAATAGCGCTTAAAGCTGCTATATATATATAATACACATGCATACAGTGATGCATTTATTAAGTTACTTAACACGTTGAGTATAGCGCCGGTCCCTGGGGACCGGCAATGAACTTTCAGTGTGGCCGGCGTCGGTCCTCTGGAATTTTTGTTTGGCTGGCGTCGGTCCACAGGACCGACAGTATTAAAGTTAAAAAATAAATATAGTCTCAATGAAATGTGATCAAATTTAGTTTTAATGAAATGTATTGAAACATTCTAAACAAAAATACGGCTTAGCTCGCTGCCGGCTGAACGGAAAGAAAAGCAAATTCGGCGCACTGCTCAATGTGTTAAAGCTACTTAAAGGCTTGAATCCTTTGTTTCAATCCTGCACAGTAACTCAGAAAGAGCTTTCGCATTGCAGAGAAATGAAAATGGCACAATATGTGCCCTTGAAGATGGGATGTACTTCATTAAAATTAATATTTTAAAAGGCCAATTGAGTTAGAAATTTGTTCTAATTAATCTGTTAAAAAATTTTCTTCATATTTTTGTAATGGATATTATATATATATATATATAGTACTCCCGATTGCAATAAGAAAGGGAGTTGCAAAACTAGATGTTATAACAGTCCCATATACAAAATTTCAATATTCTAACACCTAAGCATTTTTGAGTTATGCGAAATGCATACCTACAGACATCATAAAAATTTCCATTTTGAATCCATTTCACAATCCATTCTGGAATAAAGAGTTCTTTATTCTGTCTGTACACACAGACATCACATAAAAAAAATAGTCAAAATGAATATTTCTGTTAAATCTGAAACCTGAAATTTTTCACAACTGCAATACTTCCATTACTTCCTACAAAGAAGTAAAAATAAGCCTACTGATTTCTTCAGGAACAGTATTAAATAAGCAATGGAAGCAATGGAAAAGTGTTATTGATTGAGAAATAGAATATATAGCTCACTAAAGAAATATCATTCTTTTTTTTTTCTCTATTTCTTCAAAACCTTCTAGGAAAAACCATTACTTATGGGATGACCTCTAATACAGAATACAGTCAAAAGTCTTTAATCCGGACTTCGTTGGGACTTCAGCAATTCCGGATTATCGGTTTTTCTGGATTATAGATCATCAGTTTAAATCTGGTAAGATGGCTTGCAGAAATTATAAAATTAAAAATATAAAATGTAATTTATGAAATAAAGAGCAATTATGATCCTAAAGGGTATTAAAAAAACTTAATATTTATTTGTTTACTTTATTAAACATTTTTTTCAACGTGTGCACAGTTGAAATTAGAAAATTGCAACCAGAAAACCACTTGATGTGTATTCGTGATATTTATAATGATGAGGAATTTGATTTAAATCATATCAAAGACGGAGTACATCGAGAGGAAATACTACATTTAGGAAGGAATTATAAGCCGAATAAAATAAAAACATCTGCTCTGAAGATAAGGATAGTGCTGACAGATCAACTTCCACTTCATTGTGCCCCCCCCCTGTTGACGCAGAGCAGCGTGAAATTGATATAAACAGATTTCAGAATGGTTAGAGAAACAAAGGATATGCCTTTATCCATTTTTTGCAGCAATTCCACTTTTTGTTTGATAGACATCAAAACATGCTTTCACTTTGTAGATCCTTTGGTAGCTCCAGAATCGAAAACTCTTTTTGACATAATTGAAAGTTCAAGCTTACTTTTAGAAAATTGCTTTCACAGTCTGCAAAAAATAATAAGCAGGATCCAATTAGAAGATTAAGGAACAACGCAGTCTGCAACATTAACTGAAATAGATAATAAATATTTTAGCTTAGCTTATACCATCCGTTATACATTAAACGCGCATGCGTAATTGCATATGCGCATGCATAAAGGTATTATGCACATGTGTTAACGCATTATGTGTTGACGCATGCACAGAAAGTTTGTAGCTTTGAGGTCCGAATTATAGATCATTCCGGATTATGGACGTCCGGATTAAAGACTTTTGACTGTATTTCTCCTTTTGTACGTATACAAAACACATTTAAAAAAACATGAGCTACAAAAACTTTAAACATTTACATACCATATTCATGAAATTCTGCCAAGCAATAAAATAATTTTTGAAGTAATTAATGTATGTCATAACAGTTTTCTGACAATGAAATATAGTTTCAGGATGGAGTTCAAATAACTGTACAACAGCACCTGAAAGAACACTACAAAAATAGAAATAATGAAAAATAAGATATAAAAAAATGCATGCAAAAATAATTCTCAAGCCGTACAAAACAATAAATACAAAAGCTACAATAATTTATTTGTAAAATAATCTAGAACAGGCTTTCCATTGAAATTCAACTTTTGGTTTTCCTAACATTTCCTGATTTTCCATGACTAAACAAATGATTCCCTGACAAACCAGTCATTAAATTAAGAACAGTAAGTGTACAAATTTATGCATTTACAATGAAACCTCAATTCATTCCTGAATAACACTCATCAACCAATGTTCATAAACCGAAACAATTTTCCCTGTATGATGAATGAAAAATGGATTAATTTATTCCTGGAACACAGATGACTGCTTATTTAGACGTTAAATCAGTACTTTCCTCTTAAACGCATAACAAAAAAATCAACAAAAATCAGTAAATATAAAAAAAAAAAAAGAAAATAACAATATTAAATAGATAAAAAAATGCAAAAATTAATTTTACTGTACTTGTATGAAGAAAAGTAGATAACATAAAAGGAAAAAGATAACAAAGAGCTTATTGTTTGAATACAAAGTTCCCTTCCATAAAAACATCATGCAGCAGTCTTTAGGACATCCATATTCTTTCACCTTTTCTTTGTCTCTCACTCATTGAGCCTCTGTTTCACTCAAAATTTGTCCAATGGGATTTGCTGTTGCTTATGTTTATAAACCGAGACAAAGTATTGCCACTGAAAATGCTTATGTTGTCGCTAGCTATTGCCTTGTCAGGGTGACATCGGTAAATGAAAATTTTGCATTTTAATCCATTTGGCACAAATTTCGTGGATCAGAGAACTAGGATAATTTTTTTCTTCCTCTCTTCAGAAGATATTTCTTTCACACTCACCTTTTTCTTGCTGCTTCTGAAGTTGTTATAGATCTTGCTTGTTGAATTCATTTTTATGGTCCATTAGTGACTTTTAATAGTGGCCAATGCCATTATACACAAGTACCCACCATTGTAAAAAAAAAAAAAAAAATATTCTTTAAGCGAAGTATGGAAAAAGGTCATAATAAGACTATTTTTTAAAAGGTGTTCATTTCTCAAAAATACAAATATTTCTTTGAAAAAATAATGAAAGACTATCATTAAAAAACTTTTATTTAAAATATCTAAAAAAAAATTAATGAGATGACCTAGGAACACCATAATAAATTTGTATTCTCTATCTGGCTGAGACTGGAAATAATTAAGATCTATCTGACAATGGGAATTAAATTCAGAAAAAATCATAGGTTTCACATGTTTGTAATAACTTTTGAGTTTTTCTGGCAGGGCTCACAAAGGTGGATGTATCATTCTGCATAATGTTTTTACATTTGGCTTGAAGTTCTTTCAACCTTCTGTCATGTCCTCCATGTCCAACAGCCAATGAGTTTCATGAAGTACATGAAATAGCTCAGTGTAATACTACATAGTACTGACACCTTCTTTAACAGGATAAATAAGTTTACTTTTGTTTTTGACAAACATTACATCATAGCGATTCAGCAATCAATAGTCTCATAGTTCTTTCTTAGTAATCATTTTGGCTTTGTACACCATTTATTAACTTCTGGTAAGTAATTTCAGTTACTTGAAATGAATTGGAAATGTATTTCATACTTTGGCAGTTTGTCATTTGGCATTCCACAGAATGCCCAACAACGTGTAAAATGTTTAATCATTTCACATATTCCCGGCCAGTTTTCAGCATTCTATAAAATGTCTAGGTATTCTATACAATGCTGGATTTCATACTTTGAGTACATACACAGAAAAATAAAATTTAGCATCAAAATTTAAATATTTTTTATTTCCTATATCATGAAAAAGAACACTTAACAAATACAGCATAACATTTATTATGTGAAGAATATAAGTATTACACTACAACCAAAACTCCAGAATAGGAAAATAAGGATAAACATAACAATATATCATCAACTGTAGAAAGCTAAATTAGAGTTTAAATTAATGTTCTTATACTTCAAAAGAGAAGAATAAAAAATAGCTCATTAATAAGTGAAGAGGAAAGTTATGTGTTGACAAAATTGCATCAGACATAAACTGAGTAAATTATTTCATGCAGGACAAATAACATTTTTATTTGAAAGAACTGATCTTTCTTTTCTTTTTCTTTTTTTTTTAAATTTCCCTGACTTTTTGGAAAAAGATGTAGATTTGCCTTTTTGGAAAAATTTCATATTTTTGTTGACTTTTCAAATTCATTTTAGTAGAAATCCTATACAATAGTATTTCGAATAAATAAAACAATACTAACTTGTGAATGTTTTCTGCATATTTTGGCACAGGAAACAATATTGATAACCTTTCTAAAATTGCTGGAATGAGAAGTGCAGTTACAGAAGTGTCAGCATATTGCAAGAATACCTTAAAATATTTCCTAAAAGGTATACAGAAAAATCTTCAATATAACATGTATCATTGAATAAGAAGAAAGAAAGATATTACTTTAAGCACAAGATTTTACTTAAGAAGAGGAATAACAGCTTCTGCACAACACATGACTCTACTATCTGATGCCAGACTATTTAAACTTTGATGTAGTAATGAAACACTAAAAAAAAAAAAAAAAAAAAAAAAAAAAAAAAAAAAAAGGGCAAAGGCCATTTTAAATAAAGACATAACATATAAATATTACAGAATAATACACATAACACTTAGAAAATGGGAACACAAATACCATCATAATTTTTATGTATTTTTTACTAACCTCTCAAAGGTATCTCCAATTCCACTATTTCTTCTTAACATAAATTGAATCATTGAAGCTACTTCAGGTTTTTTGGTGGCTTCTAACAATCCAGAATCTTTCACAGCTTTGGGATCTAGAATGCTGGCTTTATTATCTGTCAGTATCAGAATAGCTGTTAAGCATGGCAGATCCAACAGCATGTAGAACACCTTTAAGGAAAAAAAATTAAATAAAAATATGAAAATAATAATAGAAAAATGACTTTGAAAAATAAAAATAATATTTGTTAATATATGTAAATACAGTCAAAAGTCGTTAATTCGGACACCCATAATCCGGAATGATCTATAATCCGGACCTCAAAGCTACAAACTTTCTGCGCATGCGTTACGGCTGCGAATATGCGCGTGCGCAATATACGTTTACGAATGCGCGTTTTAATGTATAACAGACGGTATAAGCTAAGCTAAAATTATCTAATTCAGTTAATGTTGCAGATTGCTTTGTTCCTTAATCTTCGAATTGGATTCGGCTTATTATTTTTTGCAGACCGTTAGAGCAATTTTATAAAAGTAAGCCTGAACTTTCGATTATGTCAAATAGAATTTCTGATATATATTTACTAATATGTAAAGGATCTACAAAGTGAAAGTATGTTTCGAATTCCATTAAACAAAAAGTGGAATTGCAGCAAAAAATGGATAAAGGCATATCCTTTGTTTATCTAAACTTTAACGTTTGTTTATCTTTAACGCCGTGGCGCGCAATGAATTGGAAGTTGATCTGTCAGCACTATCCTTATCTTCAAGGCAGATATTTTTATTTTATTTGGCTTATAATTCCTTACTAAATGTAGTATTTCATCTCGATGTACTCCGTCTTTGATATGATTTAAATCAAATTCCTCGTCATTATAATTCGCTTCCGATAGCGAAGACAGTAACAGATGTTATTGAAAACGAAAAAACTCCGATTGACAAATTAGTTGGTATTCTCGACACAGCAATTATAAGACTTGAACAGCGGAACTTCGTAACTGAAGAAGAAATTATGTCTGTTTATAGAATTAAAGAGAATGTATTATCACATAAAAAACGAAACAACTTACATTGAAAGAAATGTTTAATAAAGTAAACAAATAAATATTAAGCTTCTTTTGTAAATTTTGATACCCTTTAGATCATAATTGTTCTTTATTTCATAAATTACGGTTTCATATTTTTAATTTTAGAATTTCTGCATGCCATCTTACCAGATTTAAACTGATGATCTATAATCCGGAAAAATGGATAATCCGGAATCGCTGAAGTCCCAACAAGTCCGGATTAATGACTTTTGATTGTATTTGTGTTTATATGATAATATCATGGTGTTATGTTTTTTTTTAACTTATTGTTATGAAATGTACTGGCACGGTGAGATGGCTTCCCCGCAAAGCAGTTTTAGGGTTGCTATAAAATGGCAAGGAGGGCAGGGTTGCCACATTTGGCAACAAAATTGGTGATATACTATGGACGGTTGGAGAAATTTCTGGAACAAATTCTTACCAGTTTACACCAGAATGTTCCCAAACACAAGCTGAAAGCTATATAAACCCTGCTGGTCCACAGTCAGTAAGTGTATGTCTCTCATTGAGTGTGTGTCTCGTCTAGCGAGTCAATCCCTGAGGAGGCGATCGAGTTGACAGCCGGGCAGCGAGTGCCGAGTGCACTGAAAGAGTCTGTTAAGAGTATCGTGGTTAGTGCATCGCCGAGAGAGCGTGTTGAGCTCCGGAAACGACTGAAACGAGAGTCGGGAGCGTGCTCTGTATATCGTCGAGTGCATCGCAAGTAGTTGTAGGGTAGAGAGTCTCGAGAGTATGTGGAGTTCCGAGAACGACCAAGAAGAGTTGGGTGCTTTGCAGGAAGCTATCTCCACCGTTATTGCCTGACAGTGTGAAGGCTGTGTCGCTGATTGTTCCATCGTGTTTATAGTAGATCTTCGACGACTGTAAAAAGTGTTATTAGAGCTGTCCTGATTAACATTGGCCAAATAAAGTGTGTTTCGATACCTCATCAAGTGTCATCGTTATTCAATCCAAATCTACGAACCCCGTACGAACGTGAAGAAAGAAAATAACGCAACAGCTGGTGTCAGAAGAACCCGTGAAGAAAAAAAACGCAAAATTATTATATATCTAGTGCATTTTATGCAATAATTTTATTGTGTATTTTTGTCTAATGAAATTTGTGGCTACTTATTGTAATTGTAAGCACTCAACGGTACTATGGTGCGTGGGTTATGGCTCGGTAAATGTTCTTAGAAGACAAACTTCTACACAAATATTTGAACATCCTTACACTCGAGCTAAGGGCAATGGGGCAAGTTCGCTGGTCGCGCTGGCAGTTATTACAAAAACAACAAGATGTCATCTGGCAGCGTGTGCAGTCGAACATAAGACTGCCACAGAGTATTCCACCAATGACACAGTAACGACACAAAAGGGGTTCGTTGCAAAACTCCAGTTTAAGGTATACACATTCGAATAACAGTTATACTTTAAAATGTATGTACAAAAACAAGAAATACAAAACATATGAATAGTAATAAACTAGTAATAATACCCTTAAATTCTATTTGAAATATACAACAATACAATGTATATCTTAATTAAATAATGAAAAGTTAATATAATAAGAATTTTATGCAACTCTCAATATGTATGCAAAAGAAATTAATCAAGTATTTATATACTATAACTTTTGCAGCAAACCACAAAAGAAAAACTTCAATCATATTACAGGGATCAGTTTTTTTGGGAAAATGAACACAATGTCCACTGCAAGTAATTACTTGTTTTGGAGTAATTTTTGAGTTTTCACAGACTTTCTGATGTGGAATCTGAGGAATTACAGGTGAATCTATACATTCCAATAACATATATGCTGGTTTTATGTTATCGATTGAAACTGTAGTCCTTTTGTTATTTACCTCAATAATAAAATTTTTGTCCATTTGTTTAACAGCGGCATGAAGACCAGTGTAAGGTTTTACAGAATCGATCCATAGAAATACATGAGAACAGGTTTGAAGTGTAGGATGTATATAAATTGATGGTTGAACATGCTTAGAGGTTAGAATCGATTTAACTGAATGCATGACTGATCAAAGTTGTGACATGCAAGATTCAGAAGGAGGTATGAAATTAGTAGCATTCAGCATATCTGAGAGTGATCTGAGTGTGGTACCATACACAAGTTCGGCATAAATAGCATTTATATCTATCTTTCTTAATGGCAAATCTGATGCCCAACAGACCATAGGCAGAATTTCAGTCCATTTTAGATTGTTATGAGTATTGTACAAATCTAACACATATTCTAAGTAATGCTTTCGAGACATGAAAAATGCAAGCTGAATTTTGTCAATGGCTCAGCAGAACAGAGATATAAAACTATCCTTTCTCTCTTTTTTTTTGGGAGGGGTGGTGGAAGGGGGGCACAGTGTACATATGTATGTATGTAATAACTTTTTGCAATTGTAAATCATAATTATTTTACTTCTGCACAAAGGTGGTTTTACTATAACATACCTATTTATTTTCTGTATTACATTGTAGATTTTGTAATTCTCAATCAATGTTCCATTAGCTCAATTAAAACTAGAAATATGGGCAAAAATTACATTGTAGATCTTGTAGTTCTGAATCACTTGTAACTAGCTCAATTAGAATTAGAGATACTGGCAAAAATTACATCATAGATCTTGTAATTCTGAATCAATGTTCCATTGTATTTGAATCAATTAGAACTTGAGATATAGGCAAAAATTGTTCTACCGGGTAAAGAAATAATTTTTATCACCAAGTTACTACAATTTGGCAATTTCTCACAAACTTGGCAAGTAAACTATCTGTTACCTTGCTGGGTATAAAATGTTACTTACGTCAATTTCTTATGGCTCATCTGATTTTTTACAAAATCAAAATAAACAATAATATCATATACAACAATACTAGGACTGTAAAAAATCGCAAATATAACCCTGATTTTTGTTGTTTGACTTCTAAATTAATATTTGCTTGGCATGTTATTTTTACCTACACAATCCAATGTTTTTCTTAAACTGATTCAGAGAAAAACTATTGATCAATTATATGATTACAGCTGTTTATGAGCAGGAAAGTTGACTGATTGATTTTTAAAATCAATACATGAATACAGCTGTTTACGAGCAAGAAAGTTGATCCTTTGATTTTAAAAAGCTTGTAAAGTACAAAAATAAGCCAAATAAACCAGAGGTAGAGGAGATTTAGAATATTTTCAAATTTAAAATTTTCATGCAAGCAATTTTTCAATTAACTATTAGAAACAACTGAAAAAAAAAATTACTTCTACTGATGTATGTTGAGACATAAAAGCAGGAAGCAGTTCTAAAAAGTCATCTACAAATGTGTTTGGCCTCCAGGCTAAAACCTAAAAAATTAAGCATGATGCAGTTATAATTAATAATGTTGAATTTATAATATAACTTAAATATTGTTGTGTTAAAATGCTTGAAAAATTAATCGTCAGAAAAAACACTGGACCTGAAGTACATTATATTAGAAACAGTTTTAATTAATTACACTAAAGTTGAAAATAATTATAAACATTATTTATTGGATATAGTGCAAAGTACATGTACTTTAAAATACAGCAGCATTTCAGTAATCCATGACTACTTAATTCACACTTAGTTTTGGATTTAAAAAAGAAAACTTCGATTCCTCAAAAAATCAGAATGGCAAATTTAACAGCAAATTTTTTCACATACACATACAATGTAAAACACACTAAAAGTGTACTTTCAAAACTAGAATCCAGCGCTAACACAGCTGATATTGTTCTTTAAAATAATTAACTAAATTAAAATTTTAGAACAAAAATTTCTTTTGGAAATATAAAATAATCATGAGAAAATAGAGGGAATTCTTAATGACTATGGATAAAATTAGTGTAGGCGAGTAAACATATTAAAATTAAAATAAACAAATAATTTTGTTGCTAACTGAATGATTTTAGATTGGCTCTTCAGTGTGCGTAACCTAAAATTATTCCAACAGTCAAAAATCAAGGCATCCTAAAAAAAGCATTTCTTTCTCAATAATTTGAAAGTACTCTTTTTCTATTTTAATAATGAGTGTGCTTTCAAAAAATTAAGAATAACAACCCTGTGCCCTTTAAGAAATCTACTGTTGCAGTTAATAATTTATAACAAAAAGTTTCCTGAAAAACATAAAAGTGTTTATCTTACATTTTTGAATCTGCATTCATTGTTAAAATAGAAAAAAAAGAGTCCTTTTAAGTTATCAAGAAAGAAATGCTTGTTTTTTCAATTCTCTGTTGGAAAAATTTTAGATTACACCCCCTTGAAGTGCCAATCTAAAACCATTTTGCTCCTCAATTTAGGTATGGCCTCTGAATGTAATCTAAAAGTTTAAAATCAAATAACTTGATCAATTTTTGCTGTACGGGATTCACACCATTTTGTATTTAATTTTCAAAATGACAATAAAATTCTTCCTAAATATAAGTGTAATAATTCATAGAGCATATAAAAAGTTAGATTTCATAGCAATTATAAAACTGATATTTTGTTTTAATTTAAAAACGCTGAAATGTGAGCATTTAGATCATTTAAAACATTTCTGTAATTAGAAATATATGTAATGACTTTTGTGGATACAGTGCACATACAGTACAATTTCTGAAATCCGGATGTCCGATATCCAAAATGATCTAAAATTCGGATCTATAGATCACCAAAAAATGTTTTTTTTTTTTCAATGCTTCATGCTTTTACTTTTGGTATTTTTTAATAATTAAAGATGTGAGTCTCAATTCTTAATTTCACTTTTCAGCACCGCCAGCTTAGTGAATCATTATTTATTATTTTTTGCTTTCATTATTGCATGACTATTAACATACCTTAGCTTGAGAAATAACTTATGCAGCAATGTCTAAACATTTTTTTCTTTAGTAAATGAACACCAAAAAGTAAGGTAACCTTTTATGTTGACGCTGTGCTCAGCAATGATTACAGACTTCAGCTAACTCCGTTGTGAAGTATTTGACACGGAAAAATTTAATAGAAATTCCTTTCCATGTACAAAAAATAGATTTTGTAAATGATATTCATAGGTCAAAAGATTAAATTTACTGCTTTATGAATCAACAATAGCCTGTTTTGTAATTCAGTTAAGGCTAGGACTTCTGCACCTACAACAGGTGGCAAAATTTTTAGAATTTAGAGAAGCACCAAACAACAAAATTATAGGATGGCAAAATCTCTAAAATTTGCAGAATTTAAGGGTTATAAAACTTTTAGAATTAAAAGTGGCAATTGACAGTAGAATTTAGGACCTGCACAGACTGCACCGGGTTGCAAAATATCTAGCGATGGTTTTGAATAAGACTTGACTATATGTGGGAATTTACACTGCTCGACATTGAAAATGCAACACCAAAAAGGAGTGGTCAGAAATTTATGCAAATTTTAGAGTAGACGCACGTCACTGAGTTACGTGAATGATGTGAAATGCACAGCTCTCCGATGCAGTGGAGTAAGATGTAAGGGAGGAAACATGCAGAATGGGCAAATTCGTGTCGCATTTCTGCCAGACGAGTTCAAAGAAAGTTGGTTTTTTGTCCGGAGGATACGTGTAATAGGAGAGAATGCCCAGTGCCATCACGAAGGCACTTCCACATTCAGATAGACAATTTTTATGAGGGGTATGGTGATCAGACTGAGAAGGGCGGGTTGGGTACTTACATCAAATGCAAGCTGATACCCCACATGAATAACAAGAAGGATGCACGCTATGGCGAACACTGGTTGGAACAAAGGAAAAATGTGGGAAAAAGGAGGGGTGCAGGCACAGCACCCCTCCTTATATAGATATAAAATATAATATAAGATATAAAATATAATGGAAATGTATTAAGAAATTAAATGTAATTGGGAAAATTTCAAATAGTCCTTTAGAGTCCAAATTTTAATACTAATAAAACCTACTTCAGTGCATCATTGACATCACTCTTTCCTACTATTTCTTTACAATACTGTAAACTTTTCCCCAATCGCTATTTAAACCTGAAATAAAGGAGACCAGATTATAAACAGCTCCAACTGCTTCAAAATGCTTCACTTTTTCACATGCTGCTGCCTGAAGAGGCCACCTTTCTCACTTCACTGTGTTTTACCTATATTGTTCAAAAATGTAAATGCATTTTTTATAAATTGTGGTAATGAACTTTAGAATGAAATGTTTTTCATTCTTGGCACACAGCAGGGGTGCAAAATCTTCAGTTGCCCCTGGATGCTGAAAACCCTAGCTACGGCTCTGTCTGTGTATGCACAGAACATTAATAACTGGTTGTAACTTCCACAAAAAATAATTAATAAAATTGTAAAAAATATAATAATTGTTCTTAATAACGTTAGGGGAAAATTGAAAGCAGTATCTTTAGTGCGGGTAGTAATCACTTCCCAAATCTATGATTTTCTGCCAACATTTTAGAAGTTTTCAAAGCCTTTGAAGCAGAAACTTGGTGGCCGTGAGTCCAAAAACAGATCAACCTCATTTTGGACGTCATGTGCAGAATGGAAGATAGCACCAGAAAGATGTAGTTGCAAGTGTGAAAAAACGTAGAAATCTAAAGTTGGGGCTATATGGTGGGTGTGGCAAAAGATCCCATTCAAGTCTATACAGAGTAAAGCTGGTGAATACAGACACATGTGGTCTTGCATTACCTTGATGGAACATTACCTTTTTGAGCCGGAACTCATTTCAATGTTTTTCCTTGAAAGCAGCGTCAACAAAGACTGGCCTCACTATACACCTTACTGTCGAGGGTTTTACTTTTTTCTAGATACTCTTTGTGTTTGTGGATAATACCACCATGGCAATTTCAACAGATACGAATTATGATCTTTTAGTGAGTCAAACTGCACTTTGCGATGCTGCCGACAGGCTCATCACAGAACAATGGCTTTTTCGACCTGTGTTGTTGAAGTAAATCCACTTTTCATCATTACTAGAGATGATCCGATCCCAGAATTTTGTCCTTGCATCAATATGAGCAGATTAGTGCAGCCCTGAACATGTGTGCCCTTATCACCTCGAGTCAGCACATACGGCACCCATGGATTGAACTTGCACGTCAAGTTTATGCGATGCACAGTGCGACCAATGGACATGGCACTAACATCTAACTTCTTAGCAAGCTATCAAGTGGTTGCATACTGATCTTCTTCTACAAGTTCTCGCAGGCAGGCCTCATCAACATCAGTAGGCCGGCCAAAGCGCTCTGCTCATTGGATATCATAGTCCTTGTTTTTGAACTTTCAGTACCAAACTTTCACAGTGTCATATGATACAATATTAGTACCTAAAGCTGTTAACATCATTTGGTGACACTCTGTAGCTGACGTTTTGAAACAGAACTGGAAGTGAATGATGGTAAGTAGCTTTATAGTTTCATTTAAGGCACCTTGTACTTACTGACAACAATATATATATTTTTTAAATTTCACAACACAATGTTTCTCTTTCTTTCAAATACCAAAAACTGTTTGACAAAATATGATTAAACAAGCACACGCGATCTGTTTATGAAGACGATACTTGCGATGGCGGGAAACTTTCGTTAAAACCCAATATTCGAATTAATACTGCAATTCAATTTAAGGAAAGCCTTGCTAATGAGGTTTTTGTAAACAGTGTATTAATTAACCCATTAGTTTCATTAGTTTTTTCTATCTTTTAAAAACTAATTATTTCCCCTTTATTTATTTTTATTTGCATTTATTTATACAAATATTTTGATGCATTTTTAAAAGAGATTTCTTCATCAGTTATTCCGTTCGCTCATTTTTCTTGCATTGACATTATTTTGTTAGACATATAAAAATAAATGTACTAACAATATTTTTATTTACTGAATATTGATTAAATAATTTTTAAGGACTGGCTCTTTTTTTAATAATTCTTTTCATAAAAAAAATACAAATTTAATTTAAAAACTATAAAGGTTTTCCACCTTTTTTATTTTTAAATTAAATTTTAAACTTAGACACAACCTTTGTATGGATTATCAAAATTCTACCACACTTACATACAAATACAGTCAAAAGTCGTTAATTCGGACACCCATAATCCAGAATGATCTATAATCCGGACCTCAAAGCTACAAACTTTCTGTGCATGCGTCACGACTCATGCGCGTAAGACCTTTACGGCTGCGAATATGCGTGTGCGCATAATACATTTACGCATGCGCGTTTCATGTATAACGGACGGTATAAGTTCAGCTAAAAATTATTAATTTTCAGTTAATGTTTGCAGATTTGGTTTTCCTAATCTTCGAATTGGATCCGGCTTTATTATTTTTTTGCAGACTGCTAGGAGCAATTTTATAAAAGTAAGCTTGAACTTTCGATATTCAAATAGAATTTCCGATATATATTACTAATATGTAAAGAATCTACAAAGCGACAAGTATGTTTCGAAGTCATTAAAAAAAAAGTGGAATTGCTGCAAAAAAAAAAAAAGGCAAAAAATTTTTTATCTAACCATTCCAAATTGTTATCAATTTCACGCTGCTCTTGCGGCAGGGAAGGGGGACGCAGCGGCGGAATTGGAAGTTGATCTGTCACCCACACTATCCTTCATTGCAGATGTTTTGTTTATTTTTGGCTTATAATCCTTATAAATGTAATATTTCACCTTGATGTATTCGTCTTTGATATGATTTAAATCAAATTCCTCGTTATTATAATTGCTTCTGATAGTGAAGAAAGGACAGAGGGTTATTGAAACAAAAAAATTTCGATTGACAAATTAGTCAGTATTCTCGAAACAGCAATTATAGGATTTTCAACAGTGGAATTGTAACTGAAGAAGAAAAATGTCTGTTTATAGAATTAAAGAGAATGTATTATCACATAAAACGAAGCAACTTAGTAAAAACTTACATTGAAAGAAATGTTTAATAAAGTAACTAATAAATATTAAGCGTTTTTTTTTTTTTTTTTTTTTTTTTTTTTTTTTTTTTTTTTTTTTTTGTAAATTGATACCCTTAGATCATAATTGTCTTTATTTCATAAAAAACGGTTTCAATTTTAATTGTATAATTTCTGCATGCCATCTTACCAGATTAAACTGATGATCTATAATCCAGAAAAATCGATAATCCGAAATCGCAGAAGTCCCGACGAGTCCGGATTAACAACTTTTGACTGTATTGCGTTTTGAAATCAGAAAAAACTGTTTTCTAAAGCACAAACACAAGCAGATAGAAAAAGAGTATGCTTATTTCACAAAAATATGTGAACTTACTTTAAAAAATGTAGGAAAATATTTTTCTAAAATGCTACTGTGATAACAAAGTTGTGACAAATTTTCTTTCATGAGCAGAATAATTTCATATGCTATGTAATTGTCTTTGTAAGACAAGTTGAGCAAATCGCAAAACATATAGACGTACAGATTATCTGGTTTATGCATCACTGAACTACCTACAAAGAAACAATTAATATGCATCAGTATGAAGAAGAAATGATGAAATATTTTACAATTCAAATTAGAGATGGGATATAAAGCTATCAATTTCTTTTAACACTGTTAAAAATATTTGCATCCTCTCTCATGCAGTTGACGCCACACTAACATGCAGTTGATGAAAGTAGAAATCAAGATAATGGACGGACGGACCGACTGACATCCCCCCCACACACACATATAAAAAAAAAGCCCCCCCCCCAAAAAAAAATCTGAAAGGTTTCAGATTTTAATTTACGTCCAAAGTTTTTTTTTTTTTTTCTTTTTTTAAGCGTTTTGTGTGTTATCTTTATTTATTAAATATCATGTTCTTTGCACATAAAACCATTAAATTTCAGTTCAATAGAAATGCCGCAAAATAATTTTAAAATGCGCATACCTTTAGAATTTCCAATACACAGTTTTGCCGCGCGCTGGAGATAAAAAGGTTTTTATTCCTGTAGACGGTGTTGCCATTGCTCGCTTTTAAATCGTTGAGTTTGTTACTCAAAAATTCCTTAAAGTTTTACAAAATATGAAATCAATAATAAAACAAATTTGAAATTTCAATTTTCGGCTTCCACATGCCCATATTCGCAGTAGGATTACATCATTCAAAATTCGATGGCTTTATGTACCATTGTTTTATCACAATGTGAGAAATATACATACATTTCTGAAGATTTTTCATTATTTACTTTCTTCAAATATAATGCATTATACTAATTCTGAATTAGTATAATGCAGGACTCTTAACATTTGGTGGCAATAGTTTGAAAAGTTAAACGGACATTTATAGTGATTCAACGCAAAACAAAAACAACAGTCCTTCAAGGACAAAGCCCCTTTGGACTTAAAAAAAAAAAAAAAAAAAGAGAGAGAGACTGGTTCAATAAATCATTTCATTATACTTACAGAACCAGTTCTCCATGACATTATCACCTTAACAGTAGTCCCCTTCAGCATTCACACACTTCTGCATTCAGTGTTGCTATTGCTGGTAACAGTTCTGAAATAAGGTTCTGGAAGGCCCTTCAGGAGATTTTCCGTTTTTGCATGAACCTCTTCAACTGAGATAAAATGGCTTCCCTTTAAGCAAAATTTAACTTTAGGAAATAAAAAAAAAAAAGTTGCTTGGAGCCAAATATGGTGAATAAGGAGGATGCTCCAACACAGTAATGTTTTTGCTGGTCAGAAACTGCTTAACATATAGGATCGTATGAGCGGATGCATTGTCCTGGTGCAACAGCCATCAATCATGTAATATGTGGCCTTTTTTCCTTAATTTCATCATGAAGTCTTTTTAGTACTTCAATGTAGTAGTGTTGATTAACAGTCTGGCCACTGGGAACCCACTCAATCATTACAATCCCATTAATGTCGAAGAAGACAGTTACCATTGCTTTGAATTTTGATTTTGACATGCATTGTTTGTCCCTTCCTCCTGAAAAACCTCTTATACCATTCAAACACAAGCGCACAAGACAAAGTTTCATCTCCATAAGCCTCAGTTAACATTTGAAATGTTTCCGTGGATGATTTCTTAAGTTTCACAAGAAACTTGATGTTGATTCGATATTCGGTTTTTACATTAGAAATTTTTCCAGCAGAATGCAGTTGCACATGTTCATTTCACAACGCAGTGCTCCCAACTTCTGTGATAAGTTAAATCGAAACTGGCCCCATGGATAAAAGAGGTGTGTGGGATGACGTAACTAAAATAGTTGTTGCCAACTCCACACTTTTTCAAGTTACACAGTCTCGTCTTTTTTTTTTTTTTTTTTTTTTTTTTTTTTTTTTTTTTTTTTTTTTTTTTTTTTTTTTTTTGTCACACCTCCTAAGTTTGAAAAAAAAAAACTTAACCTTGTTCCGCACACTTTTCCAATAAATGACGAAATTTGTGAATTCTTTTTAAAAAAATTTCATTATATATATATTACATTATTTTACAAAGTAAATCATTAGAAAAAATAAGCATTTATGTAATTTTTGTACAACACTGAAAACATAAGAACATACATAATATGGATAAAAAAAACTCAGAGTTTTTTTTTAATGTTAAATAAGTAATTTCTTTTTTGTGAAATGGTTTAAAGCACATTTTGTTTTTTGGTACATGCATAGACCAACATTGCACGTTTCACAGACGTATCCTGTTCTATGCTGTTTCTCTCTTGTGCTACAGAATGCATACTGCCAAGATCCATATTTTACTGGCATATGTTCTGCATTCTTTAGTCTCTTTTCATTTGGTACATGAAGTTTTTTTTTTATGTTAATAGGGCTTGATCTTTTTTACTCAGTATGGATTATTTGTTTCTCATTTGTATCATGCTGCTGCTTATGCCCATTCTGAATGACTTGAGTATTTTTTAAATTTGGGTTACTTTCTGGAAGCATTTGATATATAATTCAGGCATTTATAATGGCGACACCAATAAAATTAAAAAATTTAAAAAAAAAAAAAAAAAAAAAAAAAAAAAAAAAAAAAATTAAAAAAATTATGCTACAATTTTTTGCTTCTTCTGTCAATTTCGTATAAGCTTTTCAATTGGTCAAAGTAGTCCACAAAGTCCATATTTTTATCATAATGGCCTTTAAATATTGTATCTAAACTTTTTTCTGCCCAGGTTTTTTCTTTTCTTCCTTTGCTAGATGGAGTAATGGGATTGACTACATGAAATAAAATGGTGATACATCGTTTGTCTAGACAAGTTAATTTGTCATCACTTACTGCACAGACACAATCACCCAGTTTTAATTTCTTAACCTTCCTTCACCATTTTGAGAAGGTTTTTGCTTTTTCTTTTTATACCAGTTCCATAACAAAATACATTTTTCATTTCTAAACACTTGAAAAGTTCATAAGATGTAAAAAAATTGTCCATGAACAGTCTATGATTTTTACCATACAAGGGCTCATTTAGTATTTTTACCACATATTCACTGCAATTTTTGATTTCCTGGGTTTTACCAGTATAAATTTCAAATTTACAAGCATAGCCACTTTCATTGCAATGCATCCACACCTTATCATCAGTGTTTTATTGAATTTTTAGGCAAGTATTGTTTAAGTGAACTTCTGTCTTCTTTCAACTGGCAAATCACGAATTCGTAAATTGACTGATTTTTTCCTGGCCTAAACAGACTATCAAACTGTTCTGACAAACATGTCAATAGAGGATGACTTTTATAAAGTTTATCAAATACTTTGCCATTTCTTTTTGGCATTAAGCTGTATCATTCAAATGGAAATTGCCTAAATGCTAATTCGCCACATAAGATTCATTCAGTATTTCGTTAGTAGACCAGAAATCCTGATAGCTTGTTAGTTTTTTAATTCCTATTAGAATGCTTATTCCTAAAAGAAATCATATCCTGAAGAGTTATAGGTGAAAATGGCTTACCTTTTCAAGATGCATATAAATTAATTTCAAATATTAATTTCTCTAAGAATGCAGTAATTTTCGTAGTTAATAAACAGACATAAATATAGCAATGGGTTTTGGACTTTCCATAGAGGTAATTTCTTTAGTTGGGCCATAATCCTTAGAAAATTCGGGAAATGATTTAACTACATTCTGCTTTTTATTCTATATCTCCATGATACTGGAATGACCTGGTAAATTTATGTTATCATTTTCTGACTTATCATCTCGTTCATCTTCTAGATTTTCATCAGCAGAAGGGAAGGGGGTAAAAGAGCATTTCCCTCTCCATCATGTTCAAAGTTCTATCAAAAATCAATTCATATGAGATACACTCGTCCTCAAAACCAATAAACAGTGATTCATACATGACACACCCAGCTGTGATATAATATTTGTGACTGATGCATATGTGACATGCCCATCATGAAAGGGAACTGAAGGCACTGCTTGTTTTGAAAGGGCATTGCCAATCCTTAAAGGCATCTTTACCATTTTGTTTCCACACTACTTGAGAAATTTCAACTGATAATTTGATGTAAATGCGGTAATAAAACGTTAAGTGTTTTCAGTCAGCATCTGCAAGTAATATTCAAAAGACATCTAATACTATATCACTGTTGCAAAAACAGAAATGTGCTGAGAAAAACTGGGGGGGGATTGGAAAATTATGCCTTAATGTTTGGCATTTAATGGTATGCATCAAAAAATAACAAACAATTAATAATTTTAATGTCTCTCTTAAAGATTACCATTCATGGTATGTAATAATAACAAATGCATGTAATAATAACAACAAGCATTTAAATGCAAACCAAAACTGAGTTCATAACAAATGTGTTATAATAAACTGCAGATACTAGATTAGCATCTTATACTGAATGCCTTTTTTCTTGTGATGTCAACAAACGTAACATTCAAATCACTTAAAATATTCAACTCAATTCTGCTACAATTAAAAAAAAAAAAAAAAAGAGAGAGAGAGAGAGATCAGAAGACAAATAGCTAAAGATGCAAAATACTGTTTGATAGAACTTTTAATTAGTATTTTTTTGTTATTTTCACTAGGTATAGCCTGTGTCTGTTATAGAGGAATTTATTAAGAGTGGAGAATGTTGACCTTCATTATGTTGTTGTATTTTTTATTTTTAGTATTTTATATCAAAATGAAAGCAGGAATTATGGAAATGAGTAATGTAAATAAAGAGAGCTGAATATTAACTGCATCAATTGAACACATATAGATATTCTCTGTGCTTCCAAATACTTTTGTTTCTGCCAATATTGGGGTAGATATGCTATGGTTTTATTCATTCCTCTTAGAGTCTGACAAAGAAGACGGATATTTTGTGTATCATTTAACGAACTATTTTTATACTTCTAATGGCAAAATGAAAATGGTATTTAACAGAAGAAGAATCTGCACAAATGATAAATGAGTCATTTTCTATGCTGATGATATTTCTAAAGAATTGGAGTTTTAATTTTGTAGAAGCATAAAATGTTAAAAATGTGTTTGATAAGAATAATCAAAATGCCTAATTTTAAAATTTATGCTGCTGAACACTTGCTAATGACAGACAACACTGTCATCCATAGAAATCACAAAATGAAAGGAAGTAGATTGTGAAAATTTAGAATCAGTGCAGGATACAGTAAGAAGAGGTGTGCTTATATAATTAAATATAAGATATAAACTTATAAAAGATATAAAGGATTTGATGTGTGCAGGCAATTGTTGTACGAATTGAAAGTTTTTGGGAAAGATTTTATTAAATTCATCTTGAAAGTTTCAAATATGCTTTTCTGACATCACTTAGATGATAATATGCATCAACAGAAAGATTAAAGAAAAGCAAAAAATAAGAGATTTTGTCAGGGAGTTCAACATCGCTTGTTTCACAACTATGAAAAGCATTTAACTCCTTGTTGCACACTGGTAAACCGCCCTGAAACCATGAATTTTTTAATCTCCCCCCCCCTCTTCGTTCCAAAATTTTTTCTTGAAAACAGATTGATTACTTATCGTTTACCTTTTAATAACATGAAAAGATTGCAGAACCATTAATGTTTTAGGTCTTAGCACTTCAAATCAGATTCCTGTTAAAATTAATTTTCAATGGGATATAATAACTTCCTACAAAAAAAGATCAGAAGTCAAATAGCTAAAGATGCAAAATATTGGTAGGTCCTCTAGTTTAATTTCTTGCAGTGGATGGGGTGGACTACAATAGGTTTTCCTCTTCTGTAACATAAATAAAAGCTGAATACTTTTTTTTTTTTTTTACATCTGCCATGAAGGCATCTTTACCCGCAGGTGAACAGCAGTCATACACTTTCTCATAATAAAAATAATACAAGCTCAATTTTACATAAAAGTAAGTTAAAAGTTTTTACTAACCATGATTTATAAAAAATCGCATAGCACTTGCCATCACTGCAATGTCTTGAACTTCAGGATCACTGTAGACATTGGAATACACATGATCATAAATTCTACGAATTATAGGGAAAATAGTATGGATGATTCCAGAATCCATTAAGCACAAGATGTTAAATAGATCAATGGATTCTATTAGACACTGAAATATATAAGAAGTACAGTTATTAGAAAAAAAATAAATAAAAATAAAAATCATAAAAACAAAATGTTCAATATCTATGGTACAAATAAAAAGTACAGTACTTTTCAGTTAACGGGACACCACTTACTACTAAACAAAAACGTTGGTGCAAAATCTAACTACAGATAGGAATGACAATCCTAAAGATATGCATAGCTTAAAAAAAAAAAAAAAAAAAAGATTGTTTTAAATGAATATTGGATGCAAAAAAATTTTACATAGCCAGCAAATGAACCCCCAAACCACACACCAATTTCATGCTTTAAGTAAGCTAGTTTTTTTATATATATACCATAACACAGAACATTGAAATTGCAGGCCTAAATTTTTTATGATTTGTGGCAATGCCACATCAGAACTCCAAATTGAGTTAAATTCCTTTATAATACATGGTTCAAGTTCTTGAACTATTTATAATTTAATTGATGTAAAATATATTGATATTTAATTACATATTCTAATTTTACACTTTGGCTAATTCCTTTTCATAATTTTCTTATACTTTTATACAGAAAAAACATTAAATTAGAGAGCTTTTATTTGTCAAAGTACTTTTAACACACTCCATTAAAAAAATTCTACACATGCATTATAGTAGTTTAAGACAATCCAGACCAAACAAAATTTAATAAGGAAAATTGTGAAGAAAATTACTAGGATGTATGGGAATGAAATCTACACAATTTATGTTTCATTCATTTAATAAATTTCATTTATTGCTGGGAAGCACTTCCCTTAGGCTAAAAATTAAAAACTGCAAGATTCAGCAATCTATTGGGATAATGGGAGATCTGATGAAGAATCAATGTCTCCTGGTAAAATCGACAGTGCTGATACATATATGCTACATTCGTAAATTGCATGTTTATTATTTAATTAAAAAAAATGTGATATGTGATTAAATAAAGAACAATATATTGTTACGAAATGTACAGGTGCGGTAAGATACCTTCCCTACAAAGCAGGTTTAGGGTTTCCATAAAAAAGCAAGGGAAGGCAGGGTTTGGCGAGAAATCGTCTATTTGGCGACAAAATTGGTGATATACCTTGGACGATTAGAAAACCTTCTGGAATGAATTCTTACCGGTTTAGACCAGAATGTTCTTGAACACAAGCCAAAAGCTATATAAACCCTGCTGGTCCGCAGTGAGAGAGTGTGCTTGTTAAGAGGGCGAGTCAGAGTGCCTCGTTTGGAGTGTGAGTTAGTTAGTATCGAGTTGGTGTCTTGTCAAGCGAGTTAATCCCTGTGGTGTCGATTGAGTTGACAGCCGGGCAGTGAGCGCCGAGTGGGTCCTCGAGTGCACCGAAAGAGTCTCGTAGTGTATCACGGTTAGTGCATCGTTGAGAGAGTGTGTTGAGCTCCGGGACAAACTGAACAGAAAAGTGGGGAGCTGTGCTCTGTGTATCATCAAGTGCATCGTGAGTTGTAGTGTGAAGGGTCTCGAGAGTACATGGAGTTCCGAGAATGACCGAGCAGAGTCGGGACCTGTACTCTAGTGCTTTGCCGTGAAGCTGTCTCCACCTTGATAATCTGATACCCTGGAGGCTGTGTCGCTGATCGTGTCAGTGTGTTTATAGTAGTTATCGACGATTGTAAAAACGTGTTTTAGAGCTGTCCTGACAATACTGGCCAATAGAGTGTGTTTCGATACTTCATCAAGTAGTATTGTCATTATTCACTCCAAATCCTCACGAACCCCATACGAACATGAAGGAAGTAAAAAAACGTAACAATTGGTGTCAGAAAAAAAAAATGCAACAATTGGTGTCAGAAGTGGAATTTGCGAGTGAATGCCAGTAAACCGCTTGCAGAGAAAAGCCATGGCGGAGGAAACGAAGACTAGGATGGACTTCTTAGCTGAGATGAGGGCTGAGATGAAAGCCAGGCAGGAGGAGATTAAGGCTGAAATCAAAGCCGGACTGAAAGAGATGAAAGCCAGACAAGAAGAAATAAATGTCAGCCATGAAAAGGTGCGAGATCAACTCCAGCAGATGAAAGTGGAGCTTACAGAAGAAAGTGCAGCCATAAAAAAAAGATATAAAAATGACAGTAGTGGCATCTGGAGAATCAAAGGATGAAGAAATGAAGGAAGTAGCTAACGAACTGCCTGAGAAAGATCCAGAAATGATCGATGAAATATCTAACAGAATTACAGAAAAAGAACGAAAACATGAAGAAACAAAAGACAGGAACGAAGATTTTGATTCTCACGTACCTGAAGTAGAGATAGAAGAAAGTGAAAATGTGACTCTCAAGTTCGTAGAAACTGATAATGTAGTTATGGAAACGCAGTCAGCAAGTGTTAAATCATCTTCTCGATGATGTACAGCTTAAGCAGTGTACTCCAGTATTGCAAGAAAATTCACTCACTTTGCAAACTATGTGTGCGTCTCATAGTGAAAATTATGCAGACAAAGACTTGATTCTAAACCAGGATACTTGCATTTGGAAAGTATCGGGCTCAGTTCATGGTTCTGATGCAAACATCGGAATTGGTTCCTAGGAAATGGATATAAATGGGCATGTACCAGCAGTTGAGAATACCAAGGTGAACTGTATACATGATGGGAATAAACTAGAGTGGTGTATGAGCTGATTTAGATTTTCCTGTGGATGAAAAGCCTGAAAGAACTGAATCTTCAGACTGTGATATGCATATCAGAAATACATCTGAGAACTGCAGTAGAAAAGTATTTGACTAACTTAATGAATGAATATAACTTAAAGAAAAGACTGAAATTCATTCTGAACTTTAATATAATTAAAAATTTTTATGTGTTTAATTTGTGTATAAAACTTGTACATATTCTAAATATTTGTTTCTTTAGTTATGTTACCTGTATGATTTAAAATGTTTCAATTGTATCGAATTTGGCTTCTGACTAAGGGTTGCACTGCCCGGGACGTGCAGTCCTTGGAAGGGGGCAGTGTTATGAAATGTACAGGTGTGGTAAGATAGCTTCCCCGCAAAGCAGGCTTAGGTTTCCATAAAATAGCAAGGGAAGGCAGGGTTGCCACATTTGACAAGAAATTGCCAATTTAGCGACAAAATTTGTGATATACCTTGGACGGTTGGAGAACCTTCTGGAACGAATTCTTACCAGTTTAGCCCAGAATGTTCTCAATCACAAGCCGAAAGCTATATAAACCCTGCTGGACTGCAGTGCGAGAGTGTGCCTCGTCGAGAAGGCGAGTAAGAGTGCCTCGTCTGGAGTGCGAGTTAGTTAGTATGAGTTGGTCATCTAGCGAGTTAGTCGTCTAGTGAGTCAATCCCTGCAGAGTCGGTCGAGTTGACAGCCGGGCAGCGCAAGTGGGTCGCCGAGTGCACCAAAAGAGTCTTGTAGTGTATCGTGATTAGTGCATCATCGAGAGAGCATGTTGAGCTCTGGGAACGACTGAACCGAAGATTCGGGAGCTGTGCTCTGTGTGTCGTCGAGTGCATCGCGAGTTGTAGCATGGAGAGTCTTGAGAGTATGTGGAGTTTCCAGAAAGACCAAGCAGACCAAGAGTTGGGTGCTGTACTCTAGTGCTTTGCCGTGAAGCTGTCTCCACTGCGATAGCTTAATAACCTTAAGGCTATGTCGCTGATCGTGTCAGCGTGTTTATAGTAGTTCACTGACGATTGTAAAAACGTGTTTTGGAGCTGTCCTGGCAATACTGGCCAATAAAGTGAGTTTTGATACTTCATCATTATTCACTCCAAATCCTCACGAACCTCGTACAAATGTGAAGGAAGAAAATAAAGTAACACTATTCTTTTAAATTTCTGCCAAAATGAATGCTGTAAGTTTGGTAGGATCTCCATCAACTTTCACGCCATAAGCCATGAAAATAGCTTATGACAAAATAGCCTAAATATAATTATAAACATCTTATTGCTAGTTTAGTTCTAAAAACGTTTTATGTGAATACTAAATTTTATATCATTTGACAAAATTCATATCCAGCTTTAATATCTAAAAATAAATAAAAATATTTTATACACATTTCATACATTTTTAAATAAAAACAAATACTGATATTCATATTTCAGGATCCTTATGGTACTTCGATATAGTTTTACTAAAAAATCATAAATTTTCCATAAATTATACAACAATCATAATTTAAAATACAGGCCATAGCATACGAAACTTTTGTAGGATATTATAACCTGCATATGACAATCATTACTACAAGACCCTACTTCACAAATGACTGCGAAACATTTTTTAATAATCCAGCATATGTAAATTTGCTGGCTTATGTGTATAACATCAGATTTGAACATAGATATTTTTCATATGGCATTTGCACGCAAATGTACAAGATCACACATAAAATGAATAAACAATTTCTCATAAATAAGAAAAAGATTTCTAACCTTCAAATAAAATTATCTCTTTCAGAATAATCGTCATCTAAGCAATTTTTTCAAAGCTGAAAGGTCATCAAAATGCTGCTTATATGCACTGGAACTAACCAACAGCAAAATATTCATTAAACATTTGATTTAATATTTGAGATGTTTTCAAATCTTTGTCCTTTCATGGCCATCTTAAGCTTCAGAAAAAGAAGGAAAAAAAAAAAAAAAGTTGGTGAAAGTTGGGAGAATAATGTGGATGATTTATCTCTCCAACTGAATGCTTAGGAAGATATTGTTGCACAGACAATGCTGTACTCTGTGTGTACAGCATTGTCTTGCATCAGGTATAATAAACCATTACTCAGAATCAAAAAGTTAATTTCTAACTCATCTTATCCTCTTTCTTAATCAGAAAAACACCTCCATCTAAAAATACTGATTAATTGATTGATTTTCAGGAATTCATAGTCCAGTGAATTTTCTCTACAATTTTTTCATTTTGAAGTTGAAGTTGAAGGGTACCCTACCTTTAGTTCATCTTCAATGCTTTGAGCACACATTTAAAGCGGTTGTACCATTTATACTTTTGTGCTCAATAATGACGCATCACCATATACTGTTTGAATCATCTCTAACGTTTCAGTAGCAGATTTTTCAAGTTTGTAACAAAATTTAATGTTATAGCTCTATTTCGAAGCATTTTATTTCTTTTCTTTTCTTTCTTTCTTTCTTTCTTTCTTTTTTTTTTTTTTGTACAATATCTTCTCAGTAAATGAAAACGACTCCAGCAGTTTGAAATGCAGATGACAAAATAATCAGTTTTAATAAGAATTTAAATGCCACTCTTTCGAAACACACATCATTCACCTTTCTTATTTCATCATGTATTCTTTTAATTTGTCTGGTTACTCTATGGGTGCAGCTTATAACTGCTGATTTAGACACTTGTCATGGCACTCTTTTACAGCATCTGCATTTTAGATACTAAAAAATTTTAAACCTGTTCACAGGACATAATTCACAGGCCTTTGATTCATGCTGTTCTGTTATGAGCTATTTTGCCATGGGCTATTTTTTGTGGCTATTTGGACATGGTACCCTTTCATGCTCAATGGAATAATGCATAAGTATCAAAATTTATTTATTACTTTATCCTATAATAACTTCTACTAATTTTTTCAAATGATTCTTTGTTACTTTTAAACTGATTTTTTAGATTTAATTTTCTTGTAGCACAATTTGATTGCATTTACTCATTTGTTTCTAATTTTAACTTTGTTCCATTTTGTAACTTTTCAAGAATATTACTGAAAATTTTTTTTAAAGTCTGACCTACTAATGTAAGACTGGACTACTGATATATGACATATCGAGGCCCACCTACAAGAACTTGCGGAAGATCAGTATGTAACCCTTCCAGAGCTTGCTAAGGAGTTAGACGTTAGTGTCATGTCTATCAGTCACTCTATGCATAGCATAAACGTGACATACAAGTTCAATCGCTGGATGACATACAAGTTCAATCGGTGGGTCCTTATCTGCTTGAGTCAGCTCATGACTCAAGCAGATAAGGACAGATGTGTTCAGGCCTGTATAAATCTGCTCAAATATCAATGCAAGGACAAAACTCTGGACCGCATTGTCACTTGTGATGAAAAGTAGATTTACTTCCAACAACACAGGCCGAAAAAGGGGTGGGTCTGTGCCAAGTGAGCCTGTCGGCAGCCTCACAAAGCACAATTTGAGTAACAAAAGGATCATGCTTTGTATTTGGCAGGATTGCTGTGATATCGTTCACAAAGAGTATCTAGGAAAAGGTAAAACCTTCGAAAGTAAGATGTACAGCATGATGCTAGTCCATGTTGATGCTGCTATCAAGAAAAAACATTGAGCTGAGTTCCAGCATAAAAAGGTAACATTCCATCAAGATAATACAAGGTCACATGTGTCTGCATCCACTGGTTGGGCTCTGTACAGACTCAAATGGGATCTTCTGCTACACCCATCCTATTAGCCCTGGCATCGCTCCTTTGGACTTCTACTGTTTATCACACCTCCAACTACATCTTGTTTGGTGCTATCTTCCATTCTGCACAGGATTTCCAAAATGCGGTTCGTCAGTTTTTGGACTTGCAGCCACCAAGTTTCTGGGCTGAAGGCATTGAAAAATTACCAAAACATTAACAGAAAATCATAGCTTTGGATGATTACTACCCGCACTAAAGGTACTGCTTTCATGTTTTTTTTTTTTTTTTTTACACCCCCTAACTTTATTAAGTATGTTTCTTGGTGGAAAACTTCCATTACAACCAAATATTTATACTTAGCACAACAGAATAAAATCAAAAAATTATATTCAAAGACCAGATTTCTGCATCTTTATTTGGTAAGAAGAATTTGCATATTATTCTCTAAACATTTTCTTTTTTATATTATAGAGAGTATAAAATACTCAGTATAGTATTTTATACAGTATAGTATAGCATATTTAAAAATAGCATACTTAAAAAAAATCAAGACCATAAAGAAATAAACAAAACATAAAGAAATATAAAAATCTGACATTCTTCCACGGGTATGCAAACTCTGTCATATCAAAATGTCAGAGCTAAAAATGAACATCAAGTTAGTTGATATGATATTGCACAACTCTAATTTCTTATAAATAAAACAGAGAAAAGGAGAGAATACATTTATATGTAAAATACAGACATAGATGACCACTTAATGCTCTGAAACATTAAGTTTTAACATTTAATAATTATTAAGCACATCAGAATTATCACAATATTTGAAGTGAACCCCTAATAAGTGTGCATCATATGATTTTAAAGTGTCTCAGCAACTTGCAGACTGTTTAATTTTGATACAACTTCTGGAACATGTGCAAATAATTTAGAATAAATTAAAATAAGTTTTTTGAAAACTATTATAAATATTTTTACTTCTTGTCATACATTTTTGCTTTCTTGTACAAAGTAAACGAAGTATTGTAATCATGAAAAATTTCGGGTATCATAGTTCAACAGAAATGTCCATTTTGACCATTCCCAAATCCATTTGGATAATTTTTTGAGTAACACCCATATCTACAGACAGATTAAAAGATTTTTTCCAAAATTAATTGTAAAATGGTTTTTTTCGTGACGTATGTACATATGTATCTCCCGCATAACTCAAAAAATATTAGTCATACAACTGCTGTAACATCTAGTTGTGCACCTCCCTTTTTTTATTGCAAATCAGCAATAGCAAAAGCATATATTTATACAGTCAAAAGTCGTTAATTCGGACACCCATAATCCAGAATGATCTATAATACGGACCTCAAAGCTAAAAACATTCTGCGCATGCGCCGCGATGACACATGCGCGTAAGACCTTTTACTTCTGCGCATATGTATGTGCGCAAGTGCCGAATACGTTTTTGCATGCACGTTTTATGTATAACGGACGGTATAAGCTAAAATTATCTAATTATCTATTTCAGTTAATGTTGATGATTGTTGTTCTTTAATTTCAAATTGGATCCGGATTAGTAATTTTTTTGCAGACTGTAAGAGCAATACTATAAAAGTAAATTGAACTTGATTATGTCAAAAGAATTTCCGATTCTGGAGCTCCCAAAGGATCTAAAAATGAAAGTATGTTTCGATGTTCCATCAAACACAAGTGGAATTGCTGCAAAATGGATAAAGACATGAGAATGTGACGAGAGGTTTGTGAAAACGAAAAAATTTTATTGACAAGTTAGTCGGTATTCTCGGCACAGCAATTAAAGGACTTGACAGGAACTTCGTAATGAAAAGAAATTATGTCTGTTATAGAATTAAAGAGAAAGTATTATCACATAAAACGAAGCAACTTAAAACAACTTACATTTAAAGATGTTAATAAAGTAACAATAAATATAAGCTTTTTTTTTTTTTTTTTTTTTTTTTTTTTTGTAAAATTTTGATACCCTTTAGATCTAATTGTTCTTTATTTCATAAATTACGGTTTCATATTTTTAATTTTTAGAATTTCTGCATGCCATCTTACGAGATTTAACTGATGATCTATAATCCGAAAATCGATAATCCGGAATCGCGAAGTCCCGCGAGTCCGATTACAATTTTGAGTATTTCCTACCCCTTAACCTGGCATTAAAAACATCCTTACCTGGCTTTATTTTAGGCATTGTGGTTTTAGTAACTATTCAAGACATTTTAAATGACAAAATTCCGGTCGGGCGATGTCAAATTAAAAATAATAATAATAATAAATTTTCAAAATTTGTGCTTTATTATGTCATTTTCAACTTATTACTTGAGAAATCAGTTAATTAAGTTAAAATAATTCGAAGAAATTAGTTTAAATGAAAGACAGCAAAAAAAGTGCTTAATTTAATAGATCATACAAGGAAGTCATAAGGTGTCCACATCAGATTTTTTATTTGGATGCACTAACCAGTTTGATTTAACCTTTTCTTAAGGGCTGAGATGTCCCATGCATTCATTACATTAAATAAGAAACAAAGGAATTTAGTTTATTATGGAGGCTTCACTTTGTTAATGAAATTTAGAACAGGAAATGGTAGACCCTGTCAATTGGTTTTTTTAGCTCCTTCTTGAATGAATAGTTGACTAAATGGATCCAATACATTAAAAACTAATCTCTATAGCCCATGTGAAAAGGTTAAAACAGCCTAAAATTTTTCATGAGTTATTATTTATATTTATTTAAAGTGATAAAAAATTATTTAATTCTTACAGCCTTCTGGAATTCCGCAGCACTCACAGACTGAACTCCTATCAAAACAGGGAAAAAAATATTAATTACTAACATGTTTGATTTATAGATTCCTGCAGTTATATTTTATCATTTTCATTATCATTTCTATGCATCAGAGAAAGTACCTTTTGCATGACAAAATGAGTTTATTTTCTTAAAATCTATTTCAGATATATGCAGGATATAATTCAAATTCAAAATTTCATTTGTTTTAACATATGCAGAAAGTTTTCATTGATGCAAAGTATGTTTTATTGCTATATAAACAGATTCTGCATCATTATTACCTTATTATCATTATTTGCTTACGTAAAATATACTTTTTTTGGTGTTAGAACATAAAAGATGAAAAAAATTATTATTACTGGTAAAGGATACAAAGTGTACAAAAAAGTAAATGCCATTTACTTTTAGATTTAATTTTTTATCACAATTTTTACATAAAATCTGTACATTGAAATAAATTGTTTTATTAATATTTTTGTGAATAAACGCAAATGGAATTCTTGAAGGAAAGAGATTTCGCTACATCATTTGCAAAAATTTCCCAATTTAACAATCCGCAAGGGTCTCCCAATTTAAATTTGGAATAGCAAATGCAAAGAGCCTATTTACAAATATTCATAATATATGAGGTACAGAATTATTTTAAAGAACCTTTTTAATCAAATCCCTTTTTTCTTAGAAATGAACATGCACGGTTTTCCATTTCTAGGGAAAAGTGCCAAATTTACTTCAACTGCAAGAACAGTCAGATGACTTACTGTCCCATTCTGTCTTCTACAGGTATCACAACTCAAGGTGAGGAAGAACTCAAGAACTAATTACTAACATGTCAATTTCACAGTTACAAAAAACTCAGAAGTATAATGTAATACAATTTCTGCTACTTGCGATAAATTTATAATGCAAGTTCAGATTAAATCGTACATGAAATACATATTAACATGCACCTAAAAATTTTTCTTGGCTGTACCCTAAGCATTTGTGGAGCAAATGAGGCTGGTAGAAACTAAAGCCAATAAATAAATTGAACCAACTGGGAAGTATAACAGATTAACAGTCACACAAGTTTGCAAAAGCTCTCTCTTTGAACTCAAATATGCACTTATTTATGCTTTAACTAATATGAATTCTGATGGAACTTATTGAAGTGAAAATTCTAGGTGAATTAACAGAAAAAACTTATTAAATAGGATATAGCATATGCCTGTTTCTTCAGACTTATGAAAATAGATTAAAAGTTTTGAATGCATAACAAGTGAACAGCTACCAAAATGATATAACAAACAAGTGAAGAAGTAATTATCTTTAATTCATTTAGAGGAAAGTGTTGAGCATTTTTAGTAAACAACCTTCTTCCTAATCCATGTAAAACCTAAAATAAAACTAACGTACAGAAAATCACAAAAGCTTTGTTAGTTTATTCAAAAGTGAACTGGTTGTCATATTAACTACATGGTGGAGCATTTAATGCTACTCATTTTCAAAGTACAGAGGGTGTTAACACAGTTTTAGAATAACTTCCACAAATATTAAAAAACAAAAAGTTTTGGAATAAAACTGCGTGGCAATAGTTTATTATTTAAAATGAGAAATATCATCTGTTCCTATTAAATTTATTCTTTCAAAATGTCAGATGTGAACAAGCTGTGGATTGAAGAATAAGTTTTCGCACTTCTGAAGAGAAATATTCCTATTCCATAATTCAAAGATGCGAAATGCATGGTATTAATATTTCTAAGAGCAAACGAAATAAGTAACATTATTAACAGGAAAGGAAAAACATCAGTCATTACTTCTACCTGGAAAGAACACACAAAACAAATACTCGAAAAAGATACATACTATTTCTAATACTTCTGAAATTAAATCATTGGTAAAAGAAAAAAATCTGCTGCTTTAGAAATCCTTTCCAAAGTCTTTTACATCTCTAGCAAAAATAAATAAAATAATAAACCATTGTTGTGTAGAAAATTTAACGTAATTAATTTAATCACAGTAATCAAAATTTTAATGTGTCGATACTCTAAATTTTAAGCTACACAACATGTTTTGATTTTATTAATTTATTGGTTTATTATTGGTATATTTTGATCAATTTAGTTTATCTCAATTTATACAAATTTTTTATCTAGTGTCATTCATTTTTGCTTGTATTCGTGATTTGCTCACACAATGGATCTTGGTAAATTTTCACATAATAAACTAGAATTTTCATGACTTAAGTTAAACCCTTAGAATTTAATATCAATAGATGCAGAAAAATTAGTACTTTAATTTGAGACTACTTTCATAATCCTAGCTTTAATCAATTTTAAGTTATAGCCTTTTAATTAACAAAACTTCCTAAGTTTTTCCTCTAACAAGAAAAGGGGGAAGAAGAGTTACAAAAGTTCACTTTCAACGAAAAAATGTACGTTCTTTGGACTTGAAAAGCCACTTCCTGTCAGGCTTGCCATTCTGGGTCTCTGCACCTGCTCAGACTGGCCTTGGTTTTGGCATGAACTTGCCGTG